GACCTAAATCCAGCTCTCCGATTACTTTTGAATTATTTATTTACAAACTATCATTTTTCACCGTAAATAATAACTTTCCACATTAACCTTGTTTTTTAAAATGTTCGAGTTAATATTTTATTTAAAAAAAAATATTACTGATATATTATATATTTTTAATGTATATACATTTATAAAAGATAAATACAAATTATTTTTAAAAAATTAAATTTTTAGTATATTTATATGATTTATTTTCGTGTTAATATTTAATATATTTATAATTCATATAAATCAACGATACATCATAATTTTATTGGAATATGTTATTTATAAAAAAATTAAATAGGTGAAAATATAAAGAGTTAAATATAAGAAATAAAATTTAAAAAATTAAAGACAAATAAAATTATAAAACAAAAAAAGAAACTAGAAAATCTTCTAATATCATTTCCTCACCTTTTTTTTTGCTATTTTCTTTCGCGGGTATTTTCTGTACTTTTTTTCACTTAAAGCAAAAATATTTGTACATCAGTGTTTGCATGGAAAACAAACAGGCAATTGATGGTAGACTAAAGAATCCGATGTTTAATAAAAAGGACAAGCACATATCCTGTGCTTCCGTGCTACAATCTCTCTCCCTCTTTCTCTCTCTCAACATAGATGTACAGATTCATGTGTATGCACACATAATTAACCCATCATACATTAAATATAATAAAATATGCTCTTATTAATTAATTAGAATACTTCGATATACTTGTTTCTTTCAAAAGATAAATATCTTTTTAAAAATAAAAACATATATATTCTACTTTGAAATTCTTCATTCTTTAAATAACAATATTTTTTTATAATAACAGACTTTTATTAAATATATAGTAATTTTTATGAATATTTGTAGGTCATCATTTAATTAAAATATATCATAACAAAAATATAGAAACTTGATCTAATTAAACTGTAGCTAAATACTAATATTACAACTAACACAAGTATGTTTTATTTTTCTCAAATATGACCTTAAAAGTAAATGGTACAGTATAATAATTTTTACATAAAAATATTAATTATTATTAATAAAAGTTAGTTCAAATAATAAACGTTTAATATCACTTAAATAAAGTTTTAAATTTAATTTTTTGTATATGTAAAAAATTTTTAATGACAAAATCATTCACTATATACACCATCCAGATTAAATTCAAATTAAACCAGATTTTAAAAAACAAAAAAATTATATAGTGACTAAAAATTATATTTAATTTTCAATATTAATGTGATGAAAATCAGCATTGTATACTAATTAAAAAAACTCACGATATTGAACCTAAATTCACCCTTTTACGTAAATCAACTTAAATTCTATACGTACAACCGCACCGTCATTCATATGTCGATCAGCAGAACGGACCTTACCCTTTGTCTCCGGCACGGCAAAGCTGCCGCCCGAATGACGGGATAATAATTAAATCAGCAAAAGGTGGAATGTACTGCCAGTGTCGTAAAGTCACAAGTGGTTTCTTCGAACTGGTTCAATGGTCGACGGATAATGGTAACAGGTATAAATGGTATATGGTTTGGATTCTGTACGGAAATAACAGCATTGATTAACGCGACTCTAATTTTCTATTGTATTTTTTTTTACATTTTAATATTATTTTCTTATACTTCTTATCGCTTTTTCCTCCTAAAATATATGCTCTTCAAGTGTGAAAATTTCAATTTTCATATGAAAAATATCCGTATTTAGATAAGAGGTGTCCAACAGAAATAAAGTTTTAATGATTACATACGCTTAAAAAATAATTACATATTACAATTGAACAATGAAAATTTTATGTGATATAAATTCAATATAGACTCTAAATACAATTTTGATTATAATTATACAGTATATTTTTATTTTAAAATATTAAAATTTAATTTTATACTTAAATTTTAAAAATATTCTCGCAATAGGTCGCTAGTTAATTAAGACGACCATGTGGCTTTGAGTACGAGGCTTTTGCCATCAAGCGACAGGTGGGGACGACAGTTTTGGATGGTTCGGAGTACGTTACTCAACTTAGGCTCTCAGCCATTAAAAATATTAGCTTTGATTTGTTTATTTTAAGAATAGATTTCGAACATATATTTTATTGTTTATAAAATATAAATTTAATAAATTAATTATTTAATTTTAAGTTTTAGCATAAATTATCATACATCCGAATGACAAACGATTCACTAGCCTTTAAGGAAAGTCTCAAATTTCAGTTTTTATGTATATAAAATAATTTTAGTGATAGACTCATTTATCACATTTAAATGTGTGACTTATATATAATTTAAATGTAACTAGGTAGATAACAAAAAATTATGTGATATAATCCTATAAAATATTATATAACCATTTTTTTTATTTATGTAATGATAATATATTTATGATAATATATAACATCAACATATTGTTTACTAGATCCGAAATATTAATTTAAGCACGTATACACAATCAAACAAAGACTAAATTTTAGCCAGCAAACTGCATAGACACCGCGCTTGCTTTGTGAAGAAACATTGCCTGTTTGGATTATGATTGGTGATGGATAATCTCCATGAACAGTTCCACGCAGCAGGCCCCTACAGAACTTCCCAACTGGAAGTAACATTTCCTAAAAATTCAGCAAATGTGGAATTACTATGGAATAAAGAAACCAACTTCAATTTTGTCTCTTTTTCATTGATATACTTTTACTTACCGATAAGAAATAATACTAATTTGTCGCCTACCATGGCTCCTTTCTTGTCCCCCCTCTTACCCCTTTTATTGCCTCTTACTTAAGGCTAAAACAACCACGTTTTGCTTTGTTTGAACTTAAAGGGCCCCCAATAGCAATGGTGCATCCTTGACCACATCTTGTCTCTTCCAACTCTAGATTTTCACGTCAGTGGATATTATCCACTTTATTTTATTTTGTTCTTTGAATATAATAATAAATAGTCAAGTACCAACAACAAGTGGCATCAAATGGATAAATTATAAGATTCTTCTGGGAGTAGAGCGGATAAGGCCCGCCTTGTCAGCATCGCCATCCACGTCTCATATCTAATCTGGGTTCAGATAAACCCTACTGTATTATTAATATAAGCAATTGGGGTTAGAGATAACTCCCAAATCTTCCATAATTTTCTATCATTTTTTCATCACCACTAACGTAATGAGTAACCATACTTTCGCACATTTTGGACCTCGAATCACTTGTCATCAGCCAGAACTAGTAAATAAACAATTCGTGATTTATGCGCAATACTGTTTTATTTTATTTTGAATTTTTTAATCAGAGAGGACAGCAATATTGAATCGGTATGAATGTGAATTACTATGACAAGGCCACTCATGCTTTTCATAGGCACACAGAAAATGTAGTGAAGAATATTATTTTTATATAAAAATGATAAATTCATACTATATAGTTGTATATAAATGATTAATATTAAAATTTAATTAAAGTTACATAACTAATCTTAAAAATGTAATGCTTTATGTTAAGAACTATTAATTTTGATTAATTATTATGTCTTCACATAATAATATTCATTTTATACATTTTTCATATATATATATATATGTATTAAAAATCAAATAAATTTTACAAATTTTTCTGATCAGTTAATACTAATTAACATAAGAGGTATCGATGGGATGATGTATACAGAAATATTGCGAGAATTTTAAGTTTTCACTTGTACAAGGCACGTTTTGTTTAATGTCCGTACTTGATATTTGATCGGTTTAGCAATTCTTATTTTTAAACACTGTCAAGATTAATTTTCCTTCTGTCAATTTTTTTATCATATCACCTTATTTATTATATATTTATTTTAAAATAAAATATCAATACGTTTTTTATATACTTTTTTGGTTAAAGGATCGGCAATTCCATTTTTTTTATGTTGGAAAACTAAATGATAAAGTTATTATATCGTTTCATTCATATTTAAAATTGTTATTAAAAAAATAATAAAATACTATTTTTTATTAAAAAATTAAATTAAAAATACTTTAGAATTCAAGGATGGTAAAGGGTTAAATGAGAAACATAAGAATAGTAAAGGCATACAATGCAACATTCACCAAAAAATTTTATAAGTAGGACAACATTTATGTACTTAATAAAATATTTATATTTCATATTATCATAAATTATTAAAATATAACTTTAATTTTAGTTAATATATAACGTAACAATATTTAAATAATTACAATTAAATTTGATCTTCCTAAATTTCAATCATTGAACTGAGTGCTTATCTAAATGTTTTTCGTTCCATTACTTATTAGATCCCAAGTTACATCAAGTGAACCTTGATATCAAAGTGGTTTTGTGGGGCAAATTGTTTATCTTTGGATAAACAAATAATTGAATGTCACCATCATTCTTCATGTTTGCTTACCTTCTGTTGACAAAAGAGGCCATTACAAAACTTCACCTGCATTCGTATAACTCGGATTTCAAAACGTTCCGAATTTGATTATCTGATCCAAATTCTCACGTTTCACCTGACCAACTCGATAGACGAGAGTTACAAATTAGAACCAAACATAAATGAACTCGAATGCTATTATATACACCTGGAAGACAACGTATTAAATTTGAAACTACTCAAGGATCATATTATTCCACACGTCGCGTTCACAGGTCCTAAAGTAATCTTTTACTATAATAACTCTCTGTATTCCACGGATGGTTACGAAAATTATGTTTTTCTCGCCTTCACACAACTTTTATAACGATATGGGAGCAGATTTTCTTCATTTTAAAAAAACTTGTCATGGTGTAGTATTAAACTTAAACCTTTAATTATTAATAACTTAATTATTTTCATGGATAAATTGACTTTTTAAATAAATAAATTAGTTATTTTAATGGTCAAGATTTCTTCAGTTATATGATATAACTACACAGATATTTGGATTAGTGGAATGATAATAACCTTGATTGCCTCTGTTGATCCTAGTTCTCGAGGTTTGGCACAACACATACATTGCAATCGCGTAATTTATGGAGATAAACAATGACCACTTCATACAATAGAGCGCGAGAAAGATGGTCTCAAACGCCTAAATTGCAGGTGATCTGAAAATTCCAAAATCAAAGAAAATGGGCATGACTAAGAACAATAAAAAATCATGAAGAAGCCCAAACAATTATACTTGAAGAATCTAAGCTTCCCAACCATTTATCATACATAATTGTAGGCAAGAGGTTAAGAAATCCGAAGATGAATCAATTCCATTGGTCAAATAAGAGAAGAAGAGAAATTTCGCTTCAAGTAATCGAATTTTTGCTTCCAAGACTCGAATAAAATGTACTTACATTTCATTATTATTCAGCATAAAAAGAACATCATTTTTCAAGCTTCTTCTGATGTTTCTCAGACATACATCGGAACAGAAAATCAAATCGAAAATAAACAATGGATACAATGAACTGCCACTCAATCTTCGGCAGCCATGACAAAGAACATAACTAAAAATGTCAAATTACAAAACAGAGAAACAGAGAGACTCAAACAGTCTCAAGCTTCTCAACTATGTACACAGAATTTTATTCCATTGCATTATATACAACTCAACTATACATAGCCAAATCAAAAGGCCAGCATCGAATTCATTCATAAGAACCAGCGATAAACTCCTTCCAAGTTTCATCTTCACTTCACCAGTTCCGAGACCCATCCAATATCAGGGGCAGGGGTTGAAAACGGCCCAATCGAATTCTCCCTACTAAGCTTCGCGTATATTTTCGCTCTAAGGTCTCTTCCCGATTCCACCCTCTCCATAGCAGGTTCTTCTTCCCACCCATTCAAACTCAAAAACCCGCCACGTGGCGACCCAAACACGCATCTCGAAGAAGCCCCCTCCTCCAGTTGAACATTCCGCATTGAGTTAACCAATTCGCGTACACTCACAGGTAAGGCACGGTATCGAGAGTTACCGGGCGAAGCGGGTGGCGACTCGGAGAACGAAGAGTTAATGACGGAGGTGGGAGAAGAAACAAACGGTTCGGGCGAGAGTGAACGGAGTTGGTCGGTGGTGTGAGCGAAGAAGCAAACTCTGCGCCGGCAACCAGTCCGGTCCTTGCAGAGCTGAGTCCTGTAGCGAGAGGGGTGTAGCCAGCATTCGAAGACGCCGTGAGCGAACTGACACGTGTCACCTTTCTTGCAATTTCCTTTGCGGTAATCGGGGCAGGCCGTGCCGGAGTAGTGGTACTTGCGAGGGTCTCGGCGGCGAGCCTTCTCGGCGGGATGGGCGTACGGACACTCCGTCCAGTCATGTGACCTGCCACGTGGACACTCCCTCACCTTGAATTGGTACATTCGGAACTGATCTGTGGAGAAAAGGTCGAAAACCTCGGCCAGCGCGTGTGTTTCAAGTGCATTGGAAGAGAATGGAGAGAGAGTTCCATTTTCTGATTGAGGAATGTGAAGGTTTGGGATCATGGCGTAGAGTAGTTGAGTTAGGGGGCGTCTCTGAAATGTGAATCATTATGAATGAGTATATAAAGTGGTGGTGCGCATAGTGCACAGAGGAGAGGATTGGAAGCATGCGGTTTGTTTAACCAAGGTTGAGTCAACAATAAGTAACATCAAAATATCTAAAGTCGACGTGGCTTTGGGTAGCTTAGATTACAAGAGTTGGTGCTGCTGGCTCTTATCTTAGCCACGTGGCCAAGGAGAAGAAGTGCAAGCCCAGCTTCGAGTTTTGTTCAGAATGCAACGCCGATTTTTCTCCATCCAGTGGAATGGTAGATTCGACAGTTACAGGTTATTCATGGCACTGTTTTGTTTTTTAAAATTATTATTAACGTTAAATGATTATAATTAAACAATTCTTTAATTTATAAATTAATTAAGTGTCTGTATACCAAATATTAATTGAATATTTAAGTGCAATATCAATAAATTAACTCTAAAGGATTGATCAAGTAAAATAAAATATTATTTCATATTTGACAAATTACAAATTTGACTCTCCACTTGTCTCATTAACATAATTTAAATGTAAATCTTTTTTATAATATTTATACAATACCTAAAATTACTAATTCTTAAAAATGAGAAAGACGATGTAAACCCGTAAAACAAACTTGTCGAGAATGTCATTAATGTTAACAAGTGTGCATTACTTTCGGTGCAATTTTATAAAGGAGCAAAGGACAAGATGAACTTTTATTTTAAGGGTTTTTTTTATTATGTGTCTATAAACTCATCGTCGATTTTTTTTATATATTTCACTAAATATTTTAAATTATTCATATATTTTATTTTTATGCAATGAATGGTTTTTTTAATGAAAATTTTATATTTTTAATTTCTGGTTATACTGTCGATGCATAAATTATAGCCGACTTTTTTGTTTTATATTAAATCTGTATCTATTTTATTTATTTATTCATAATATATTTGAGAACTTTTTTTCTCAGACAAAATTTCAATTTAAACGTTGTGTTTGTTGTATTTTTTCATTTTAGAAATAATGGTTAGAAATTTTTCATACAATTAGGCTATAAAATGTTAGAAAAAAAGTTAAATTGAGATGAAACGTTAAATGTATTGTATTCTGCATGGATATTTTTCAATTTAAGTTAAAAAATATAAATAGTTTAAGTTTAGCAAAGAAAGAAAAAAATTTAAAAATCATTTCATAAGTAACTAAGACTTGAGATAAAAATAATTATAATATAAAAAAATAACGTAACTAAGACTGACATTGATGTATAAAGAATTTTTAATACGGAAATAAACTTTTAATATAAGAAAATGAAGTGTAAAATTAAATCAAGTCATGTGAGAATTTAAAAAAAAAAACAACTTAAGCAGTGTAATAAAAGTAAAAATAGTTAAAAAAATAAAACTGTCAACATGTAATGTATGAACATAGTATTGTTTTAAAACAAAGATACGGCAGATGATGTATTTCACACAAATATTTATAAATTCTCGAAAATAATTGGGAGGCACCCCTGTCTGAAAAATACTCCACTTGAATGGTTTTTGAGTCTGACTATTTTTCCCCTTAAAATGAATTTTTAATTTTAGTTATACAAAAAATGCTCTATCGCTTATTCTGCTGGTTGTGGCGACACGCGAGTCACGTGATAGTCCATTAGTACATTATCAATAAATAAATATTAAAAGAAATACTCTTTGTGAATAGGTGTAAAAGATTGGATCCGGCATATATACGTCTTTCGATTTTAATATTAACGTTTTAAAATTAAATTTAGTAAATTTTAAAGACGCATCAAATTACACTTCAAGTTGTCTCAACTCATATAATTTCTTTCTTCAAAACTTATATATTTTTTAAGTAATTGTGTATTGATGATAAAATTTTTAAGAATTAATAAATAATATTTTATTTATTTTGAATATATATTTTAATTGTATAGTTATTAATTTTTTATAATTTAACTGTACATAATATTAAAATTAATATATTTTATTTGCAAGTTAAATTAACGTAATTTATTCTGATTTTATTGAGTTTTATGGAATCGATATTAAGTTTTAAAAAATGGTTCTACAGAAATTTCAGATCAAATAAAAACGTAGGCCAGCTCATCTCACGCGCATCCTCGTATGTGATTTTTAAGAATTGAACCAAATAATTTGATCGCTATATATTGTTCATTTGTACGTTTCTTCAGTTGGCCAAGCCACCCTTGTCTTTTATCAGTTGCCCTCTGAAACTGTTAATATTTATACGTCACTTTAGATTTTTAATTAATTTCAGTCAAGTAAATAAATGAAAATATCTGTTTCTCATTATTTTTTCTAGAAATAAATTTTTAATTTTGAAAGCTTACCCATAAAAAGTAATATTTCTTTCCATTTAAACCACTTGACATTGTCTTTTATCTTATATTTGCATATAGTCCACTGTTTATAGTTTCTTTTATTTCAGAAAAAAAAAGAGAGACATTGTTAGCTTGTCTTGATAATCAAAATAATTCAAATAAATTCAGATTTAATATAAAAACTTTATACAATAACTAATTTACAAACTTGAAATTTAGTATTTAAGTTTTCTAAGATATGCTTAAAAGTATTATATTAACACTCATTAATTATGTATTTGTCAAGTTGAAAATATACACTTGGTTATTATTATTCAGTGATTTGGGGACAATGGATTATGTGATATTATGTAAAAATAAATAATCAGTTATATTATGTATAGTGATTTATGTTGTGTTAGTTTTTATCTTAAAATAATATAGTGATATGGGTGGATGGAAAAGTAAGGCCTATGTGTACGTAGTTTTTGCGGATAAATATTTAGACCTAAAATTTTTAGCAGGTAATTTTCTCTTCGTGATAAGTGTGTTTTTGTATGTTTCAATCAAGTAAGGTTTAGTTAACGTTTCTATTAAGCTACTGTAAAAATGACAAAAACTCAATAATTATTTTTTCTGTAAATAACAACTCCATTTATTAAAGTGATTCTTTCCCCACTAACATCATGATAGCGATGGAACACTAGATGAATAATATATATAACACATACGCGTGTGTTATTTAAACCATTGACATTTGACTTTATATTTAAGTAAAAAATATTTATAATAATGTGGGTCTATTTTTTTTTTCATACACAAAATATAAATTTAAAACAAAATCAAATATGTATTATACAAACTAACTTGTTGGTAGATAAGTTTGGATGCATATTCAAACTTGTATAATTATGCAATATCTTGTATTATGGTTTAATGGAACAATGTAATATAAATTTAATTAAAATTTTTTGACAATGTAAATTTCTATATTTTTATTTAACAAAAAACTACTATAAAATTAAAAATTATTAAAACTTGTAATATATTTATTTTAAATTTCACATTTTAATTAATTAAAAATTTAATAATATAATAATGTATAAAAAAATCAAGGCCGTGTAATATTCTTATACTGCGCAAAACTTCTCCAAATGACCATTGAAATTACATCAATGATATGAAACCCGAAACCCCATGATTGCGGACATATGATTGAAGTTGTATAAAAATTAGGACATATTATCAATTGCCTTATTTATTTGGTAATGGGTTCTGAAGAATATCTGTTTGTTTTTGGGTCAGCAGAGGAATGTCTGTTTAGAAAAGGCCCAAAATGCTCTTACATTCTGAATTGTCAAACTTTTGTATTGGATCAGCATATAGGCTTGGGCTTTTCAGCCCATTGACTCCTCCAACGACATCTACTAACCCGAAAATGAGAACGAAAAGAGTTTTCTTAGCTTAAAAAAAATTAAAATGGGAAAAAAATCCAAGAAAAAGAACAAAGCTCGCGTGATTCAGTAGACTTTGCGCGGTGTCTTCCTTCTTTAACTACAATCATGGAATGTCGCGCTCTTCATTCTCCCTACGTTAATGTATTTGACTACGCTTCAGCAAAACCAACCCGGTGCTTTTCTGTTGGATCGCAGACATTTAACGGGTTTAGGTAACTACAACTTTTGTTTCTAATTCGCTCCATTACCAGTTTTAAAATCTCTGTTAAATTTCAAATTTCGCACGTGCCATAACTTGTTTGATCCGTAGCAGGGTGAGGGTGCTTGGGTCATTTTCATTTAATCTCGCACTTCATTATCTTGTCTTGCGTAATTAGAATTTAGAAGGGAGCAACACTGCTCATTGTTCCCCTCTTTCATGAATCATGATGCGAGGCTTGATTTCTTTCACTTTCACTGTCTTCCCCGCTAACAAGTATCATCGCGTGCTGTAGGATGAAAAGTAAAAATATTTTCTAGTTGAGTTAAGTCAACCTATCAGCATTAGCTAATAATTATCGTTAACAACCGCAAGTTTCACGAAGGAGGAACCCCCAATGTGTGCACAAGGACAAGGCTACATTTGGTTTACCTAACTCACAAGAATTCTTTTGTAATAATATACCTTGGATGAATGAGCATACATAAACATTTCATTTTACTAACTTGCACCATGCCATATTTGGCTTTTGTAAAACAGAATGATAAATATATATGCTTTAGGAGTGGTGGGCATTTGTTTATTTTTCACTTGGATGTTTATTTATTTATTTATTTTGTTTTATCGTGGTGGATATTATTGTCAGGGTGGTTCTCGGTTGGGTTTCTGCAATTTGTATGTTATATATTATGAAATTCAATGTGTAGTAACTTTGCCAATTTAATAAATGGACGGTACAGCTATGTCCACCTAACTCTTGCAAAACCTTCAAGTCTCGTGCATTCGAATTTAGTGGTAATGTTAAATTAAGGAACAAAGGCATTCTTCCTCAACCTGCGAGCCTCAGGCTTCCATTCCAATTCAAGCATTGCTTATCTGCAAGACAAAGCAATAGGGAAGCAAAAATAAAAGAAGGAAAAACAGAAAGGATTTTTTTTTCTTGGGATTATTTAAAATGGTCTTTAACTATAAGAAGTTATGAAATTCATTTGATCCCGTTTAATATAGTATGTTCTGACAAAAGGACAATTGGGACGAAAAGCTAACAGCTTTTCAACAATGTGGTTCTCTTTGATGAGTTAGGCTGGTTGGTCCCACAGTTTTACGTAGCCTTCACTCTCAAATTTGCTGTGTCAGTGCATATATATATATTGAAGAGGTTCTGGGCCTTCGGCTTCACAAGCAGAGTCTCCAACTTTCACTCCCACTGAGAGCACAAGCATCCTAAGCCTCAGGCTCCCTGCTACGCCTATTTCTTTCTTCGTAAGAAAATTATCTTCACCATGAGTGTTCTGTTAGGGAGTCATATTTGTTTAAATATGTATTTATTTGTTTTTCTTTTCTTCATAATTGAAGGTCTCCTTGCGGATTATTATTGGCTTAGAAGTCTAGAGAAGCTATGGAAAACTTACTGAAGATGAATACAGGAAACCAAGTTGACGCATGCACTTTTACTACCCACTATCCAGCAAGTTTTCATATACTTGTGTTGCCTTACCTTATTTAATTTGTTAATAAGAGTTCTGCATTAACCATAATGAAATGTTAAGGAGTTTGCTTGGGGAATCATAGGAAATATTAACATTGGAAATAAATGGATTATAGAAAACAGCTCATCTATTCATAATATGGTAACTGTTGTCCTCGTAAATGTAAGATGTACCTATTTTTTCATGTATAAAAATACCCATTCACCAAAAATAAAATCTGACTTGTGAGTGGCAAAACAATCAACAATTCATAAAACACCTTGCCAAAGTCAACCTTCAAGTTTCTAACTGTTTTCTGATATTGCTTTCTCTGGCAGGTAATGAAGGGAATCATCTCAGGTCCTAGTGGGAGCAAGGTTACTAATATGTTACTAAATCATGACTTTTCAGACGGGCTGAACTCTTGGCATCTCAATCGCTGTGATGGCTATGTAATTTCACCTGAATCAGGTCCTCAGCGAGGTGTGGAAATGGACTCGCATGGTAATTATGCTGTTATCACAAACCGGAAGGAATGCTGGCAAGGCCTTGAGCAAGATATCACAGATAAAATTTCCGTTGGTTCCACTTACTTTGTTTCAGCTTGTGTTGGAGTATCTGGGCTTACTCAAGGGTCTACTGATGTTCTAGCTACTCTGAAACTAGAATATCATAATTCAGATGCTAACTACTTGTGCATTGGAAGGTATACAATTTCATAATTCCTTTATGTAGTTTCTCATGTTCTAAAGCGATTGGGGGAAATGCTTATACCATTTATCATTATTTTCAACAGAACTTCTTGTGTGAAGGGTAGCTGGGAAAAGTTGGAAGGGTCATTTTCATTGTCCACTATGCCTGATCGGGTCATATTTTATTTGGAAGGACCTGCTCCTGGAGTTGACCTGCTTATACAATCAGTAGACATCATCTGCTCCAGCCCAACTGATTATGAAAATCATGTAATAATGCACTTCCAAATACTGTTACATCTTTGTGAATTCTACATCTTGGTGAAATCTAATATATTAAATGAACATTGATAATCAAGCTAATACTCATGCAGTTTTCACTTCCACGATTGCTAGATCAAAATTGCAATGAATATGTATAATTTTCATTTCTTTCCTTGTTTTGGTGAAATCTTTATATATTTTTTACGCACTAACTTGTGATGCATTTTGCCCTTATTTCCGAAGACAACAAACAAGGGGTGTGCTTCCACTGAAGATGAAAATATCATAATAAATCCCCAGTTTGAGGATGGCCTGAATAATTGGTCTGGAAGAGGCTGCAAGATTGTATTACATGATTCCATGGGAGATGGGAAAATCCTTCCAAAGTCTGGAAAATTCTTTGTATCTGCAACAGAACGTACCCAAAGCTGGAATGGAATTCAGCAGGAGATCACTGGACGAGTGCAGCGCAAGCTTGCCTATGAGGTTACTGCTGTAGTTCGGATATTTGGGAACAATGTCACCACTTCTGGTGTACGTGCTACATTGTGGGTTCAAGCACCAGATCTTCGAGAGCAGTATATAGGCATTGCCAAGTCAGTCTCTTATCTTATTTCTTTGTTACTGTGTTCAACATAATCTGAGTTATATGACTTTCATTGCAATTTGTTAGTAAGCATATATGAAAGAAAAGAAACTTGGTGTTGGTACTTTACGATTTAGTTCTTTCAAAATCAATAACAATGGATATTAGAATGCACTCTTAACATTTTTTTTATCTGCTGAACAAAAGCTTATGTGTACTAAAGTGTGCAGGCAACAGATAAAGATTGGGTTCAAATGCAGGGAAAATTCCTTTTGAATGGTTCCCCATCAAAAGTGGTTGTTTATTTAGAAGGTCCTCCTGCAGGCACTGACATTCTTGTCAATACTTTGGTAGTCAAGCATGCAGCTAAAACACCACCTTCTACACCCCCTGACTGTGAGGTTGGATTTATAAATAACTTTGATATATATTAGTAGTTCTTGAAATTTCGTTTTGCACATTCGTTTTCAAAATAAAAAACTTAACTATATTGCCTTGATATTGTTTCTTTGTGTAGCCAATTCTGTATGTTTTTAGGACCTAAAGATTGATTTATTTTTTTTTGCAGAGTGCTGCTTTTGGTGTTAATATAATTGAGAATAGTAATCTGGCTAATGGCACCAACGGATGGTTCTCACTTGGTAATTGTACTTTGAGTGTTGGAGCCGGTTCACCGCGTATAATTCCACCAATGGCAAGAGATTCTCTTGGGCCTCATGAATCCTTAAGCGGGCGCTATATCCTTGTAACCAATCGCACACAAACATGGATGGGTCCTGCTCAGATGATCACTGAGAAATTGAAACTCTTTCTAACTTATCAAGTCTCTGCTTGGGTTCGGATTGGTTCTGGATCAACCGGTCCTCAGAATGTGAACATTGCCCTTAGTGTTGACAACCAGTGGGTCAACGGAGGACAAGTTGAGCTTGCTGATGACAGGTGGCATGAAATTGGTGGGTCCTTTAGAATTGAAAAGCAGCCATCTAAGGTTATGGTTTATATCCAAGGTCCTGCTTCTGGTGTCGACTTAATGGTTGCTGGACTTCAAATTTTTGCTGTTGATAGACAAGCTCGGTTTAAATATTTAAGGAGGCAGACAGACAAGGTAACATCTTCGTCTATTCTATATCATATCTTATTTGATTTTCAGAATGCTTTAAGACACATGGAACGTTATCAAGTTCAAGATGTCTTTCACTTGAACTGATTTGAACGAGTAACATATGACAGAAGAAGAATGTTAAGATACTTGATAATTTACTTTGTTTGTCATTTCCCCGTTTCTCATTTTAAACACTTCTCCCTTGCTGCTCTGAAGGTCCGTAAGCGTGATGTAATCCTAAAATTCTCTGGGCTAGACTCAAGCAGTAATCTTGGAACATTTGTGAAAGTTAGACAGATACAAAATGATTTTCCAATTGGATCATGCATCAGTAGAACCAATATTGACAATGAAGATTTTGTTGACTTCTTTGTGAAGCATTTTAACTGGGCTGTTTTTGGGAATGAGTTGAAGTGGTATTGGACTGAGCCACAACAAGGGAATTTGAACTACAAGGATGCTGATGATATGTTAGACTTCTGTCAGAAGAACAAGATAGAAGCCCGTGGTCATTGTATCTTCTGGGAAGTGGATGGCACTGTTCAGCAATGGATCAAATCATTAAATAAAAATGATTTGATGACAGCTGTCCAAAACCGCTTAACTAGCTTATTGACTCGCTACAAGGGGAAGTTCAGGCACTATGATGTTAATAATGAAATGATGCATGGTTCATTTTATCAGGATAGACTAGGTAAGGATATCAGGGCCAACATGTTTAAGAATGCACACCAACTAGATCCATCTGCTACACTGTTTGTGAATGATTATCATGTTGAAGATGGATGTGACACCAAATCATCTCCAGAAAAGTACATTCAACATATTCTCGAGTTGCAAGGGCAAGGTGCCCCAGTTGGAGGAATAGGAATTCAAGGTCACATAGATAGTCCTGTGGGACCTATAGTTTGTTCTGCCCTTGATAAATTGGGTACTCTTGGTCTTCCAATATGGTTCACTGAGCTTGATGTGTCTTCCACCAATGAATATGTTAGAGCTGATGATCTAGAAGTTATGCTGCGGGAAGCAATGGCACATTCTGCAATAGATGGTATAATGCTATGGGGATTTTGGGAATTGTTTATGAGCCGGGACAATGCACACTTGGTGGATGCAGAAGGTGATCTCAATGAAGCTGGGAAAAGATACCTTGCTCTCAAACAAGAGTGGCTATCTCACAGCCATGGTTATGTTGATGAGCAAGGTCAATTCAGCTTCAGAGGCTTTAGTGGAACATACAGTGTGGAAGTTGTGACCTTGGCAAAGAAAATTTCTAAGACGTTTGTTGTTGATAAGGGTGACTCGTCACTAGTGGTATCAATTAATTTATAAGTGTCCTGCTTCACCTTGGAGTTAGTATTTCTTGGTTGTCTTGTCATGCATTCATGATTTTAATATTTTTTTTTTTTTTTTATATGCTGTTCGCTGAATACAGAGTTGGTTGTGTGACGTTAATGATAGCTTGCTGGACATTACATTCTGGAAAAGAAATAAAATAAAATTTGCTGCTTTTGTTCTTAAACTAGTTGTTTTCTGTTTTGATCAAGTTAAACTAGTTGTTTGTCACTCGCGAAATTACTATGAACATGATTTTCTCTGGGGTCAATATTAACTTGAATTTCTCAAACAACCCAAATGAGCTGTGCTATTCTATTTGAATTGGGCTGGGTTAGGCTAATTTAGTTGTTAGTCCAAACCAGCCCAGAGTAGGTTGCAGGCTAAGCAGCTTCGTCCATTAAACCAGTTTTTAAATTTTTTTCTTAAAAAATTCACAACCACATAAATAATGTAATTAACTTATATAGTATTTATGTAAGATGATTACTTTCTTATTTCAACATTAATATACTCCTATTTTAAAATATTATACATGAATATTTGACATTTTATATATTAATAACTTAAAAAAACTTATTATAAATGTTTTTTATTCCTAAGTTTTTTATTTATTATTTTTTAACAGGAAAGTATAAATCAATATAAATAAAAAAGGAATACCCGGGAGTTTAACGGCATCCAATAGTACGATAAAATATTTGAGACCAATTTCAGGTTGGGACAACTGGACAAGCAGTGGGTTACCCAATAGAATTGAGCTAATAAAATGTATGAAAAAGCCCTGAATGTTATATACCATTGGAAAAAGAATAAATATCAGAGTAGGATGCAAATGAGTTTTTCTTCCTTCAATCCAAATAGATTAACTAAAATTCAAAAATTGTGGTGATTATAGTTACATGGAGCATAGGTGTACGGTGCTGAGTTAGAGTTTCATGTAATTAAGGTTGTTATCATCATTTATAAAGGTCTATTATTAAGAAGCAGCCATGAAATCCAACAGGGTACGATGGCCCATACAGTCTCTACAAAAAACAAAAAGCAAAAAGCCTGCTAACGTCAACTTGACAGCCTCCCTCCATCTACCAATCTACCATTATTGATGACTGCAATGTCTATAAATGTACTAACCCGAGATATAGGCAGCATCTGAGGTTCATTAACTCGAATTATTATATTAAGTTAATTCGATTAATTTTGCCCCAAATTATATACTTAGAGTCATACTAATGAGTAAAATTATTTGACATCCACTTTTATGATTATTTATAAATATTAAATTAACCAATCTAATATTAATTTAAATATTCTTATTAAATAAATTAACTTTATAAAATCTTATATATATATATATATATATATATAAACATATATTCTATCACATTATATTTTATTTTAATGTATATAATATATTAAAAATATAAAATATTAAATTTGATTAATACACTTATAAATATTTAAATTACATAAAATTTAATATGCAGGATTATAAATGTAACATGAAATAATTTAATGATTAAATTAATGAATTTTACATTTTATAAAAATTTATTAAATATGGTAAAAAATTAATATTTAGTGTTAATGATTTAACTTTAATTAAATTTAATAATAGCTAAAGAAATGCTGTGGACGATGTGACTTTAATTAAAAAGTGGAAGGAAAGGGAATCTCACAAACCTTTAAAAAAGAATTAATGATCGCTATTTATTTCTCGCTTTAATTCATCAAAGCAATGGATTATCCGTGATGTGACTGGAAAATAGATACGGATACTTAATTACTTATTAAGACTTAAGTATTAATCACTAAAATCAGCATTATTGGATAATTTGACAATACAAAAATAAATTCAATAGTTAATTTTAATAATTATTAATCAATTTAATCTTTAATACTATAAAAATAATAATCTTTAGTATAAATTATCCATATTTTTTCAACAATGAATGCAAAAATAAATGTTTTTTCATTTTTTAAATAATAATAAAGTAGAACTAATATGCAAAAATATAATTTTTGAAGAAAAATATATTCAATATCCGTTTACAACACAAAACATGAATAATAGTTAATGAAATTTTTGCATGAGAAAAAAGTTGTGTCTTGAATTTATTCTTGAGTTGAATATCTTATTTACTTTTTTCTTACATATATATGTTTGCAATAACTGCTATTCACAATATAAATTTCAATGAGAATATCATTTTATGCACAATAGTGGAGAATTATGAGAAAAAAAAGACAAATTTACTTTATTTTAGATTTGGTACTCAAAGTAGTATAATTTTTTAGTGGATATCTTTTTTAAAAAAACAATATTTAAATTTAAGATTTTATTGTTAAAAAAGTTAAACATGTACATTTAATTTAAACACCTCTTGATATTATGAAAAATAAATTAATATTTATCTTTAGAATTATCAATAATTTGATCTCTAAATTTTTTGCTTGTCAATTAATTTGATTCATAACTTTGGGACTAAATTAATTAATTATTATCAAATTTAGAAACCAAGCTAGCCTGATTGATTATAGGAAGATGTTAATTTTATTTTTTAGAGTTGAGTATAAAAAATTAATAATAAAAAATTATTAAAATAAAAATATTTATTATGATTTTATAATTTTAAAATAAAAAATATTTTTTAATAAAAATTTATTATATTAAGAGATTTAAACTCATGATATTAATTTTAAAAATCAAATTGATTGATTATTGTCAATGTAAGACTATATTAAATTATTTATAATGTTAAGGACTACTTGATTGATATTAATGCCAATGTCTAAATTGCGCCTATTAAAGATCATATGCCAAATCATATATCAAGTCGTAATTAATAGTGAAAAAAATTTAAACTATTGCTTGAAAAGACACATAAATTTATATTAATTGCATCTATGACCTCTTATATTGTATCAGTAATATTCCCCTAAAATATTAAAAAAAACAACAATTTTTAAAAAAAACCACAATAATTTGAAAATGAATTCTATCATGATAAATATTTACGTGACCTTGTAGTATGAAAAATTTATATTTATCTTACTTCATAAATACTTTCAAAATTCGATAAGATCTCATCTGTTTAATGTATATAATAAAGAGTATAAAAACATCATTTTTACATGATATAATCATATAAAAATTCAACATAAAAGGATTTGCTGCAAAAAGAACTGCATAAGATGCAGTTAATTTGTACCCAACGATTCTCAATTCATTCTCAGTTTTTATAGTTACATTTGTAATAAAACTTCAAAATATCTTCGTGATTGAATCGTGAGGCTCTTCCAAAGACCATAGGCTCAAGCACTGTATTTCATTTGCTAGCTGACGCTTGGACAACTCACTCTCTGATTCTGATATCAGAAATCACAAAAACTTAGTTCCGTCCCAAAACTACGTACCAGATATACCATGGTAGAAAGAATATGGGAGTTAAGTGAGAAATGTAAAAGAAAGCAACTAGGTCACAATTAATAAGCTTACTGAGATAAAGATCACAAGGAAAAAATCAATGAAGATAGAATTTAATTATAAATATAAAGAACTGGGAAATTAAAAAAGAAGGTGGTCTACTGTATGATTCGCTCCGAAAATTTTGACTTTATTGCAGTTCATGTAAAAAGAATATAGACTATTGAAATTGAGAAGATTATGTGAACAATTTTTGGGCGCTTTTGATTGTGATTGAGTGCACAAACCTTCTGAAGGAAGAGTAGTTGGGATTCTCAGCATATGGAACAAAAAGACTTTCAAGCTAATTTTTCTCTTTCACGTGAAATGGTTTCATGGGTGTTTTGCAGAATATGGTGCCAATTAAAAGCATATGAGATGCTTCGTGGTTAATGCATACTTTTCATGCAGGTTAGCTATGAAAAGGAAGATGTTGGATTTTGGAAAAGTATGAATGACCTTTGTGGTACGTTAAGAAACTCTTTAATTTGACAAAACTTTTCTTCATCTTAAAAGCTACTTAAATAAATTTGAAGTTATTTGATAATTTTATGACTATTTTAATTTAAAAACAACTTTTAGGTCAAAAGCTGTTTAATAAAGCCTTCTGTAGAAACTATTATTTAAGCTTGTTATTGACTAATTTTAAACAATAAAAGAAAATTATCTATAAAAAATAATTATGAATTGGATTAAACTAAAAAATATTTTACAGGGAGGTGTGCTTTCATACGACATTGAGCAGAAGAGGAAGAAGGATATGACGCATCCTTTGAATTGAGACGCAAAGCACATGAGTTCACATGGGCAAAAATATCAGAAACGTAAAACACAAGAAATGAATGTGAGAAGGGATGCCAATGGATGTGAAATTTATAGAAGCATCTTGCAGGATCGCATTCGCTCACATCACCTATAAAATAGGATTACACACCTTAATTTTTAAGAATGTGTAGCACTTATTTAATTTTTTTAAAATGTAATTTATATCTTAAGTTAATAATAAACTTTATTTAAATAAATTAAAAATGATTTATTTTGATAAGTTATATTAAAAAAACTACTGAAATAACCAATTTATAAAAGTCATAAACTTTTTTTTATAGATTGTTAATAAATTCCTATAAATAGGTCCTAAATCTCAAAATTTCAATTACTTTTTGTTTCCTCGCTCCCTCGCCCTCTCTCTAGAACACAGCCAATCAAAAACTCTTGATAATATAGAAGATTTATCTCTTCTCCAATGCTCAATAGCATGGGATTTGAACGATTTAACTTTTAATTTGTATAATGAATCCCGAAAACTTGTCTTTTGTTGGTGGGTATGAGCACCACCTTTACATCTAACCAATATCAAACTATTAATTCCCTTCCCCATACAATCATGTTGTTCTTCCTGTGAAGTAAAATAGCAATATCTCTTCCAACCACAAAATCTTATACAACATCATCAAGTTTTTAGTTTGGAGTCTTGTATAAGAAATCAATTTGCTTCCCTATGATATGAATTAGTCCCACACACCAACCGTACTTCATTTGTAACTTTAAATTAGCTTGTAGTTGAAATTGAAGCTGGAGGCTCCAACAATATAACTCTTAACATAGTTATGAAGACAAACATGAAACTTATGTTTAAGATCCCCAGTGGATGCACTAAACAATCCCATGTGTTAGAGGAGGCTATAAAGAGAGCCGTGCGATAGACGAGGCTCCAA